ATACCTGCCCCCAACGTCGCCTTCATGATCAGAACCGATACCTGCCCCCAACGTCGCCTTCATGATCAGAACCGATACCCGCCCCCAACGCCGCCTTCATGATCAGAACCGATACCCGCCCCTAATGCTGCCTTCATGATCAGAACCGATACCCGCCCCCAACGCCGCCTCCATGATCAGAACCGATACCCGCCCCCAACGTCGCCTTCATGATCAGAACCGATACCTGCCCCCAACACTGCCATCATGATCAGAACCGATACCTGCCCCCAACACCGCCTTCATGATCAGAACCAATACCTTCCCCCAATGCCGCCTTCATGATCAGAACCGATACCTGCCCCCAACGCTGCCTTCATGATCAGAACCGATACCTGCCCCCAATGCCGCCTTCATGATCAGAACCGATACCTGCCCCCAACGTCGCCTTCATGATCAGAACCGATACCTGCCCCTAATGCTGCCTTCATGATCAGAACCAATACCTTCCCCCAACGCCGCCTTCATGATCAGAACCAATACCTTCCCCCAATGCCGCCTTCATGATCAGAACCGATACCTGCCCCCAACGCTGCCTTCATGATCAGAACCGATACCTGCCCCCAACGCCGCCTTCATGATCAGAACCAATACCTGCCCCCAACACCGCCTTCATGATCAGAACCAATACCTTCCCCCAACGCCGCCTTCATGATCTGAACCAATACCTTCCCCCAATGCCGCCTTCATGATCAGAACCGATACCTGCCCCCAACGCTGCCTTCATGATCAGAACCGATACCTGCCCCCAATGCCGCCTTCATGATCAGAACCGATACCTGCCCCCAACGTCGCCTTCATGATCAGAACCGATACCTGCCCCTAATGCTGCCTTCATGATCAGAACCGATACCTGCCCCCAACGTCGCCTTCATGATCAGAACCGATACCTGCCCCAACGTCGCCTTCATGATCAGAACCGATACCTGCCCCCAACATCGCCTTCATGATCAGAACCGATACCTGCCCCCAACGTTGCCTTCATGATCAGAACCGATACCCGCCCCCAACGCCGCCTTCATGATCAGAACCAATAACTGCCCCAAACGTCGCCTTCATGATCAGAACCGATACCTGCCCCCAACGTCGCCTTCATGATCAGAACCGATACCTGCCCCCAACGTCGCCTTCATGATCAGAACCGATACCTGCCCCCAACGTCGCCTTCATGATCAGAACCGATACCCGCCCCCAACGCCGCCTTCATGATCAGAACCGATACCCGCCCCTAATGCTGCCTTCATGATCAGAACCGATACCCGCCCCCAACGCCGCCTCCATGATCAGAACCGATACCCGCCCCCAACGTCGCCTTCATGATCAGAACCGATACCTGCCCCCAACACTGCCATCATGATCAGAACCGATACCTGCCCCCAACACCGCCTTCATGATCAGAACCGATACCTGCCCCCAACGCCGCCTTCATGATCAGAACCGATACCCGCCCCTAATGCTGCCTTCATGATCAGAACCGATACCCGCCCCTAATGCTGCCTTCATGATCAGAACCGATACCCGCCCCCAACACCGCCTTCATGATCAGAACCGATACCCGCCCCCAACGCCGCCTTCATGATCAGAACCGATACCTGCCCCCAACACCGCCTTCATGATCAGAACCGATACCTGCCCCCAACACCGCCTTCATGATCAGAACCGATACCTGCCCCCAACACCGCCTTCATGATCAGAACCGATACCAGCCCCCAACACTGCCTTCATGATCAGAACCGATACCTGCCCCCAACACCGCCTTCATGATCAGAACCGATACCTGCCCCCAACACTGCCTTCATGATCAGAACCGATACCTGCCCCCAACACCGCCTTCATGATCAGAACCGATACCTGCCCCCAACACCGCCTTCATGATCAGAACCGATACCAGCCCCCAACACTGCCTTCATGATCAGAACCGATACCTGCCCCCAACACCGCCTTCATGATCAGAACCGATACCTGCCCCCAACACCGCCTTCATGATCAGAACCGATACCAGCCCCCAACACTGCCTTCATGATCAGAACCGATACCTGCCCCCAACAACGCCTTCATGATCAGAACCGATACCTGCCCCCAACACCGCCCTTCATGATCAGAACCGATCCCTGCCCCTAATGCTGCCTTCATGATCAGAACCGATACCTGCCCCCAACGCCGCCTTCATGATCAGAACCGATACCCGCCCCCAACGCCGCCTTCATGATCAGAACCGATACCCGCCCCTAATGCTGCCTTCATGATCAGAACCGATACCGCCCCTAATGCTGCCTTCATGATCAGAACCGATACCTGCCCCCAACACCGCCTTCATGATCAGAACCGATACCTGCCCCCAACACCGCCTTCATGATCAGAACCGATACCCGCCCCCTAATGCTGCCTTCATGATCAGAACCGATACCCGCCCCATAATGCTGCCTTCATGATCAGAACCGATACCCGCCCCCAACGCCGCCTTCATGATCAGAACCGATACCTGCCCCCAACACCGCCTTCATGATCAGAACCGATACCTGCCCCCAACGTTGCCTTCATGATCAGAACCGATACCTGCCCCCAACGCCGCCTTCATGATCAGAACCGATACCCGCCCCCAACGCCGCCTTCATGATCAGAACCGATACCCGCCCCCAACGCCGCCTTCATGATCAGAACCGATACCTGCCCCCAACGTCGCCTTCATGATCAGAACCGATACCTGCCCCTAATGCTGCCTTCATGATCAGAACCGATACCTGCCCCCAACGTCGCCTTCATGATCAGAACCGATACCTGCCCCAACGTCGCCTTCATGATCAGAACCGATACCTGCCCCCAACATCGCCTTCATGATCAGAACCGATACCTGCCCCCAACGTTGCCTTCATGATCAGAACCGATACCCGCCCCCAACGCCGCCTTCATGATCAGAACCAATACCTGCCCCAAACGTCGCCTTCATGATCAGAACCGATACCTGCCCCCAACGTCGCCTTCATGATCAGAACCGATACCTGCCCCCAACGTCGCCTTCATGATCAGAACCGATACCTGCCCCCAACGTCGCCTTCATGATCAGAACCGATACCCGCCCCCAACGCCGCCTTCATGATCAGAACCGATACCCGCCCCTAATGCTGCCTTCATGATCAGAACCGATACCCGCCCCCAACGCCGCCTCCATGATCAGAACCGATACCCGCCCCCAACGTCGCCTTCATGATCAGAACCGATACCTGCCCCCAACACTGCCATCATGATCAGAACCGATACCTGCCCCCAACACCGCCTTCATGATCAGAACCGATACCTGCCCCCAACGCCGCCTTCATGATCAGAACCGATACCCCGCCCCCTAATGCTGCCTTCATGATCAGAACCGATACCCCGCCCCTAATGCTGCCTTCATGATCAGAACCGATACCCGCCCCCAACACCGCCTTCATGATCAGAACCGATACCCGCCCCCAACGCCGCCTTCATGATCAGAACCGATACCTGCCCCCAACACCGCCTTCATGATCAGAACCGATACCTGCCCCCAACACCGCCTTCATGATCAGAACCGATACCTGCCCCCAACACCGCCTTCATGATCAGAACTGATACCAGCCCCCAACACTGCCTTCATGATCAGAACCGATACCTGCCCCCAACACCGCCTTCATGATCAGAACCGATACCTGCCCCCAACACTGCCTTCATGATCAGAACCGATACCTGCCCCCAACACCGCCTTCATGATCAGAACCGATACCTGCCCCCAACACCGCCTTCATGATCAGAACCGATACCAGCCCCCAACACTGCCTTCATGATCAGAACCGATACCTGCCCCCAACACCGCCTTCATGATCAGAACCGATACCTGCCCCCAACACCGCCTTCATGATCAGAACCGATACCAGCCCCCAACACTGCCTTCATGATCAGAACCGATACCTGCCCCCAACAACGCCTTCATGATCAGAACCGATACCTGCCCCCAACACCGCCTTCATGATCAGAACCGATCCCTGCCCCTAATGCTGCCTTCATGATCAGAACCGATACCTGCCCCCAACGCCGCCTTCATGATCAGAACCGATACCCGCCCCCAACGCCGCCTTCATGATCAGAACCGATACCCGCCCCTAATGCTGCCTTCATGATCAGAACCGATACCCGCCCCTAATGCTGCCTTCATGATCAGAACCGATACCTGCCCCCAACACCGCCTTCATGATCAGAACCGATACCAGCCCCCAACACCGCCTTCATGATCAGAACCGATACCTGCCCCCAACACCGCCTTCATGATCAGAACCGATACCCGCCCCTAATGCTGCCTTCATGATCAGAACCGATACCCGCCCCTAATGCTGCCTTCATGATCAGAACCGATACCCGCCCCCAACGCCGCCTTCATGATCAGAACCGATACCTGCCCCCAACACCGCCTTCATGATCAGAACCGATACCTGCCCCCAACACTGCCTTCATGATCAGAACCGATACCTGCCCCCAACGCCGCCTTCATGATCAGAACCGATACCCGCCCCCAACGCCGCCTTCATGATCAGAACCGATACCCGCCCCCAACGCCGCCTTCATGATCAGAACCGATACCTGCCCCCAACACCGCCTTCATGATCAGAACCGATACCTGCCCCCAACACCGCCTTCATGATCAGAACCGATACCTGCCCCCAACACCGCCTTCATGATCAGAACCGATACCCGCCCCCAACGCCGCCTTCATGATCAGAACCGATACCTGCCCCTAATGCTGCCTTCATGCTTAATAACCAGCAGGGAGAAAGGATGTTTCAGGTTGAATCACATCCAGCAGCAAACAGGAGAACTGCAGAGAGGGAGGAGAGACAATGGAGGGAGGGAGGGAGGGAGGGAGGGAGGGAGGGAGGGAGGGAGGGAGGGAGGGAGGGAGGGAGGGAGGGAGGGAGGGAGGGAGGGAGGGAGGGAGGGAGGGAGGGAGGGAGGGGGCAGCAGGATGGAGAGGAGGAGGCTGTGGTTGTCGAGGCTGTTACCACGGGGATCATTGCTATGACCGCCGCCACGACAACCACTAACAGGACCTGAGAGGAGGAGGAGCACAGGTTGTCAGTTTGGTGCCAGAGGCCCACGAGCAAGGCAGCCATGAGGAGCAGTTAACAGCCGGAGACAATGAGGAGAAAAGCAGAAGCTGTGAGAGATTTGAGTCTGAAACGTCAGCTGAGAGGAAGAGAGAGAACGAAAAGAGGAAGAAAAAAGGAGAAGTGATCGAGTCTGAGGAGGACGATTCTGCAGTTTTCCTGCTAGATTCAGATCTTCATGTTCCAGAGCGGGTAAGTCTGCTGGGTTCCTCCTGCTCCAGAGAGGGTCAGTCTGATGGGTTCCCCCTGCTCCAGAGAGGGTCAGTCTGTTGGGTTCCTCCTGGGCGCTGAAACTGCTTCTAGTTTGATGAGATGAGGAGTTAGATGATGATAATCCAGGAGGAGCTCTGCTGATTTTATCGCCTCCTCTCACTGAAATCCTCTGCTTTACTTTCTTTATTGTTCTGTAGAGATTTGCTCTCAGAAGCATCCAGTAGAAGAAAGCCAGGAAATCCCCTGAAGTTCCAGTTAGGCTCCAACTAGCAGATCTTTATTGGTTAGAAGTCAGACTTTCTGAAATGAGTCCTTTTCTGTGGCTCTGAATGCTTCCTGTCTGAGCTGACGCCATTAGTTGATTAAAACTGGAAGGTAAACTGGTAAAGTTTACCCGGTAAAGATGATTGGAGTAAAAAGAAACCATGTTATGAGGACAAAGTTTAATGGATACAGTTTTATGGCTGAGAGAGGACCTTCGGGTATTTTCAGCCTAGTTTGAACTGGTGGAGCCGTTTCTGTGAGGTTCTGACTGGCCGCCGCTGCCGCCGCCGCCGCCGCCACAGCACAGCTGAAGCCAAAAAGACTTTATAGATATGCCACATAAAGCCCCTGATTGGGTCATCCCTCTCCCTGTCTGCTTGCTCATCCTCTCCCTGTGGTTATATTCAATAACGGCTTGCCGTATCGAGTTCATTTCTCTGTTTATTATCGTTTTCTTGGGTTTTTATTCTTTTTTTCGTCTTTATTCCAGTGTTCGGTTCTCCTGAAGTAAAACCTTCTTTTTCTACTTAAAGCAAATATTTCCTAACCTTATTTCTGCTCCTCCAGGTTTATTATCCTCAGCGTTGAAGCTCTCGTGTTAGACTTCCTGTTCTCTGCTTCCCGTCTTCTTCTCATTGTTTTGCCCATTAAGTTCATCTCATGTTCTAGCCTTCGCTGTGCTCCTGCTGTTTCCATGTCGTCTCTGTGGGATGTCTCCGGTTCGTGGTAGCACATTCGGCTCAGATCCTTAGACCTCCTTCTTCAGGGACCTTAAAGGTGGTGCCATACCAGATATTGGTTATTAGCTATCAAGTCCAGGTTCTCCTCGGAGGAGGACCTGCTTTAAACACGTCCTTAGGACCCTTCATCACTGGGTGCTGCAGGAGGAGGCCCATCTCAGCTGCTTGTGTCCATGAACTCCATCCGATACTCATGACCAGAACTGAAGACTGTTCTTCACCGTGACTGGGCGGCGCTGCAGACACATTCCTGTCCTCCTCCATACTGTTTCTAGTGACAGAAGGATCCACAGCTGCTACAGGATGAGGATGTTGGTGGTTCTGCTGCAGGGATGAGACCTTCCCTGAGAGACGGATCTAAACGCTTCATGTTTGTCCTGAATTAGAAGAAGCACTGAGAAGAGTTTCCTGTTTCCATCTCAACAAGTCTCTGAGTGAACAGACTCACAGACAAGCTTCAACTGAAGGAGGATAAATCTTTCAGAAGGCTTCATTGGAGCTTTAGGTTTAATTAAAAGCTGCCAGTCGACATGAATGACCTCCTCATGGTTCAGCCTGACATCATCACCTCTGACCCGAACTCTTTGGTTCTCCTCTAAAAACATATTTGCATGTTTTGACAAAAAATATCAATTTTCTTTATCATCATCATCATCATCATCATCATCATCATCATCAGTCTTCCATCTGCAGCTTGTTCACTTCTTCCTCAGTCTTTAAATTCTAACAAAAATTTAAACCTGAGAGGAATTTAAGCTTAAATAAACCAACTTTTAAGCATCACCCTGAACGCCTCACAGTGCTGTTCAACCTTGGCATGTCTTTTGATTTTTTTTAAATCAATCAAGATTTAGTTGGTTGATAAAATCTTGGTTTATTTAGCATTTAGTTCCTTTCAGAGCAAAACCCCATATTTTCTGCAATGTAATGGTGGGCCACTAGGGGTGCTATTACCCGTGAATCACTGCTTTAGAAGACCAACTGGGCGTCTGTAGTTTAGAAACCTTCCCAGGTGGACGTCATCTTTGGCTAACTAGCGGTTAGTGAGAGGTTAATCATCCCGCTGGCAGACACCCTGCTGGTACCTGGTGGAAACCCAGACCAGTAACTGGAACTTAAATCTCTGAACTTCATTTAAAATGTCCTCCAGAACTGGGTGCAGCAGGCAGCCTTCTTCACTAAACATCTAACACCCACCCAGAGTGTCAGAGCTGGGACCACTTGGACCCCTGGTGAGGATGAGCCACTGTAGACGAGGCCGCCTGTGGAGCTGGTTGACAGTTGCCTTTTGTATCTATGCTTCTTTTTCTATGTCTGCTTCTGTCTCCTTGAACCCCAGTGGGCCTCAGCAGATGGCCGCTCACACTGAGCCTGGTTCTGCTGGAGGTTTCTTCCTGTTCAAAGGGAGTTTTTCCTCTCCACTGTCGCTACAAGCATGCTTAGTGTGAGGGATTGCTGAAGAGTCAATGAGTCGATGCAATCAGCTGGTTTTACTTAGATAGGAAACAGGAATTGTTTCTTTTTTTAGGTTGTGATAAAGTCTGTTGATGGGATGGGGGGGCCCCGTCCTGCAGAGCTGATGGGCGGAGCCATGTAAACTACCCCCCCCCCCCCCCCCCCCACCCACTGTTCAAGGAAGAGACCCTGTAGCTCGGCGCTGATGTGTTTACACACCGGTTACCATGGAAACCACCACAGTGACCTTTCAACTCTCTTTCCCTTCATCTGATGAATATGAATGAAGGAGTGTTTGGGCCACATTAGGCTCCGCCTTTATTGACACTCTGAGTCCATTTGGCAGCCGGCCACTTAGACCCGCCCCCCCCCCCCCCCCCCGCTCAGAGGTTTGGGACCGTTGCAGATCACCGGAGCGTGAACATGCTTCTATTCCAGACTAGATGAGGCCAGATGGACCCAGACGGTCTGAAGGTGGAGGAAGTTCTGGCTCCAAACCCAGGATCCAGCAGTCCAAAGTAGAGATGTTCTCCTACCTCCGGATGGGAGGTTCTCCATTGGTTCATTCTATACTGATCCACATCTCACAGCTTTGGAGAAAAACAATCAATTTTAGGGCTAAAATGATGGATGAATGTTTTCCGGGTGAATGTGGATCAAAGATGTGGGCTGACTGGGACTGGGGGCCGGTTCTGATGGGGTCAGAACTGCTGCGGTCCATCCATCTGGGTCCGGTCCCACTCCTCATACAGTTATTCACGTCAAATGGAAACTTTCTACGCTGTTCCTCTTGTTGCATGTAATCTTATATGATTTGCTCCTGATTGTTTCATTTTCTCCACATGTAGATGTCAGCTTGAGCAGCATTTCTACCAAAAAGAGAGCGAGAGCTCAGGATGCGTTTAGGGTCTGATCGTATAATAAGTCTAAGGAAATCTGAATTATTTCATTTGTTCTTTGAGTTGATGGATTAAAACAGGCTGCAGCTCCTTCTAACCTTTGAACCCTGCTCCGTCCTCATCAGTCAGACCCACTGTTGTCACTCAGGGTGGGTGGGTGGGTCTTCAGGTTCTGATCCGGCAGCAGACCTGCTTTATGATCCTCTCACTGCTGTAGTTTTCTCTGAACTCCTGCAGCTTTTTATGCCATTTTTACCAACTTTCCATGAATATGCTTGGAAGCGGCGCTCAGTTGGAAGCGGCGCTCAGTTGGAAGCGGCGCTCAGTGAGCAGACGACCGGATCAGAACCAGAAGCGTCTGATTCATCACTGATAAACTCTCTGAAGGTCTGAGATCAGCAGCACAGCTTTAAATGTTCTGGTTGGGTTCCTCATCATGGGTCCCTCTCTAGAGGAGGTCATCTGAATCCGGCTGCTTTTCCTGGAAACGGGTCGACCTCCCATCAGTCGGACTAATCCTGCCGGCTGGCTGTTTTTAGGTCAGTTTCATAATGATGGGATGATATAACCTGGATGTGGCAGATTAGGGGGCGGTACAAGGCCAGTCAGTGCTGGATGGGTGGGACTTCTGCAGAATGTCAGCAGCTGCTGGTGGCTGGATGAAGATGGAAGGTCCATGACTCTGGTTCTAACGCTGCTCTAAAAGCTGCTCTTGTTTCTAGCGCCCTCTGAAGTCCACTTCCTGACCTGCACTCTATAAAGAAATGAGCAGGTTGTTCCTCCGGCTGCTCTGGGTGATGGAGTTTTAATTGATGTTGCTATGGTGATATGATGTTGTGATACTTTAAGATGTTTTTGGTAAATATCTTATTTATTCAGATATAATTCGTACTTTCATATATTGTCTATGAAAACGCGCCGTACTAGCTGTGTGTTAGAACAATAAATGAAAGAGTGATTCGAGCTCTATTCATGGTCAGACAGTTTATTCTGCACATGGAATAAATTCACCACAACTTCTGTTTTGTCTGCATTCAGAAGCAGAAAGTTAAGAGTCGTCCAGAAAAGTTAAAATATTTTAAAAATTAATCCTCTGGACTTTGTTTCCAAGTTTGAAGACGTTTCTCTTCCATCCAGGAAGATTTTTCAGTTCAAAATGTCAGAAAAAAACAACAACAACAAAAAAATAGTAGTCTTCACTACAAATAGAAAATACAACCACAATGTATACGCATATATGGACACATATTCCTACCACACATAAAAGAAAAACCTTATTCATTCCATGTACTTAACTTCTGTAGGTCTTCAGATTTCGATGCATTACTCTTAGGGATTCTCAGGAAGCGTCTTGAGTTTTTCTAAATATTTTATTAATGGATTCCAAACGCCATAAAACCGATCACAGAATCCTCTTAGCATATATATAATCTTTTCTAATTTGAAGTACAACATTAGATCAAACATCCATTCAGATCATCTTTGAACCTTTTATCCATATTCTTAAATCTTTTTGCCAGTCTAGCTTTAGAATAATGCATCCGGTGTGAGACTTTAAACTGGATTAAGGCTAAACGTGCGCAGGATGTAGTCCCTCTATGCACAGCCTCTTCCCATTTACTATCTGGCTCTTCCACTTCATTATCCCACTAAACTTTCACCTTAACATAAATATTCTGCCCTTGTGAGGTGATAATGGAGTGAATTCTAGAATGAGGCCCTTTAGATCAGTGCAGAGAGCAAACATATCATCCAGAACTGCAGCTCTGGTTCATTTGGAAAGTTTAGAGTGTTTGTTCCAAAAACGAAATAAAGCGGCAAATCTGTAAATACCTCCAGTAGTTTGAATTGGTAGGTTTAAGTTTTACACACAGATCATTGAATATTGCACAAAAAAAAACCTTCCTGATACAAATCTTTAAACCTGACAAGGCCTCGTCTTTTCCATCCTAAAAAGACTGCGTCTATGTTAGCTGGAATACCGCCTGTCTTCTTTGTCCAAGATGTGAACATTCTGGTCCTCCAGAGAATGTCCTCCGTCCATCAGGTGTAGATGTAGCGCAGAGTCTTGTCCAGAGGAGGGCGCTCTTCTGTGTTGGGCCATGCGTCTGTGGAGAGGTTGTTTGGTTTCTCCAATATTAAGATCAGATCATTCCTCCCTGCATTGACCTGCAGACACCACTCTGGGGGGGGAGGGGGGGGGTCTTTAGGAGGAACTAGTCTCTGTTTCAGGGTCTGTTTGGTTTGAAAGGTTCTGGGATTTATTTGGAGAAAATCCTCTTGAGACTCCAGCAACATCTGGGATGGAGATATTTTTATGTGTTTTCTTGTTCAAAGGGGCTAAATTTTAGATTTCAGATTTTCCTCATTAGAAGATTTAAGCAGCCAACACTAAAAACTAATTTTCGGTCTAATGAGAAAATCAGTAAAGCCAACCCCTGCAGCTTGGTTCCCATGGAGATCATCACAATAAACAGCTACTTCCTGTGATGTTGGCAGTAATGTGAACATCTATTAATCTGTGATGTTTGTACTTGCAGCCTGTAACTGTAGCTGTGTGACTGAACCTTGTTCTGCCTGCGGGGTTTCTGACCCCCAGGTGACTAATAGACGCAGCGCACAGATCCTACAGGACAGTGAGAGAGCTCACTCCCTCCTGTTCTCTGCTGCTACTGGGAACCATAGCCGGCCGGCCGGCCTCCATATCTGGACCTTTGGTTCTGGACGGGTTCAGTCCAAAGATACAATAGATTCGTTTTTCTTGATCTGCTGTAAAGATCTGAAAAGTCTTAGTGATTCCTGAGCTGTGCTCTGTGGAAAACAGCGCCACCTTCAGGCCCATCCCTGCGCCACTCTGTTAATGAGAACCATCTGGAAGATGCTCAGATGTTCTTCTCTGTGTGTGTCCCTTTAGGTTGGAGAAGCCACTTATCTCTTCACCCTTTGAGTTCAACCCGACCTGCTGGCGGCGGCCATGTTGGCCAGACTCCTCCTCTTCCTGCTCCTCTCAGTGATGCTGGGTGAGGCTCAGTTTCCCTCTGGCCAACGGCTGAAGCCGCGCATCCAGAGGGACAGACGCAACATCCGTCCCAACATCATCCTGATCCTGACAGACGACCAGGACGTGGAGCTCGGTACGCCGCCATGGAGGCTGTTTGGCTCTAGAATGTGGAAGCAGAAGCTCAGGATGTTTATGTTCCTCTGCAGATGTTTTCCACTGTGAAGCTAGTGAGATTCTCCCATCTGTGTTCAGGATCCATGCAGGCCATGAACAAAACCCGCCGCATCATGGAGGAGGGCGGGACCTTCTTCTCCAACGCCTTCGTGACCACGCCCATGTGCTGTCCGTCCCGTTCCAGCATGCTCACTGGGAAGTAAGTCAGAGGGTGGTCTTCCCAAACACAGCAGCTTTAACCGGATCTCAGATCGGTTCTGTTCAGCCGGTCCTCTTCTGTTCCTCAATGCTCCTCGCTTTTCTGTTCCTCACTTACGATCTATTCTGTTCCTCATCTACGATCTATTCTGTTCCTCATCTACGATCTATTCTGTTCCTCACCTACGATCTATTCTGTTCCTCACCTACGATCTATCCTGTTCCTCATCTACGATCTATTCTGTTCCTCATCTACGATCTATTCTGTTCCTCACCTACGATCTATTCTGTTCCTCACCTACGATCTATTCTGTTCCTCATCTACGATCTATTTTGTTCCTCACCTACGATCTATTCTGTTCCTCACCTACGATCTATTCTGTTCCTCATCTACAATCTATTCTGTTCCTCACCTACGATCTATTCTGTTCCTCACCTACGATCTATTCTGTTCCTCATCTACGATCTATTCTGTTCCTCACCTACGATCTATTCTGTTCCTCACCTACGATCTATTCTGTTCCTCACCTACGATCTATTCTGTTCCTCATCTACGATCTATTCTGTTCCTCACCTACGATCTATTCTGTTCCTCACCTACGATCTATTCTGTTCCTCACCTACGATCTATTCTGTTCCTCATCTACGATCTATTCTGTTCCTCACCTACGATCTATTCTGTTCCTCATCTACGATCTATTCTGTTCCTCATCTACGATCTATTCTGTTCCTCATCTACGATCTATTCTGTTCCTCACTGATAATCTATTCTGTTCCTCACCTACGATCTATTCTGTTCCTCATCTACGATCTATTCTGTTCCTCACTGATAATCTATTCTGTTCCTCACCTACGATCTATTCTGTTCCTCATCTACAATCTATTATGTTCCTCACCTACGATCTATTCTGTTCCTCATCTACGATCTATTCTGTTCCTCATCTACGATCTATTCTGTTCCTCATCTACGATCTATTCTGTTCCTCACTGATAATCTATTCTGTTCCTCACCTACGATCTATTCTGTTCCTCATCTACGATCTATTCTGTTCCTCACTGATAATCTATTCTGTTCCTCATCTACGATCTATTCTGTTCCTCACTGATAATCTATTCTGTTCCTCATCTACGATCTATTCTGTTCCTCACTGATAATCTATTCTGTTCCTCATCTACGATCTATTCTGTTCCTCACTGATAATCTATTCTGTTCCTCATCTACGATCTATTCTGTTCCTCATCTACGATCTATTCTGTTCCTCACTGATAATCTATTCTGTTCCTCATCTACGATCTATCCTGTTCCTCACCTACGATCTATTCTGTTCCTCACTGATGATCTATTCTGTTCCTCACCTACGATCTATTCTGTTCCTCATCTACGATCTATTCTGTTCCTCATCTACGATCTATTCTGTTCCTCATCTACGATCTATTCTGTTCCTCACTGATGATCTATTCTGTTCCTCACCTACGATCTATTCTGTTCCTCATCTACGATCTATCCTGTTCCTCATCTACGATCTATTCTGTTCCTCACTGATAATCTATTCTGTTCCTCACCTACGATCTATTCTGTTCCTCATCTACGATCTATTCTGTTCCTCACTGATAATCTATTCTGTTCCTCACCTACGATCTATTCTGTTCCTCATCTACAATCTATTCTGTTCCTCACCTACGATCTATTCTGTTCCTCATCTACGATCTATTCTGTTCCTCATCTACGATCTATTCTGTTCCTCATCTACGATCTATTCTGTTCCTCACTGATAATCTATTCTGTTCCTCACCTACGATCTATTCTGTTCCTCACTGATAATCTATTCTGTTCCTCATCTACGATCTATTCTGTTCCTCACTGATAATCTATTCTGTTCCTCACCTACGATCTATTCTGTTCCTCATCTACAATCTATTCTGTTCCTCACCTACGATCTATTCTGTTCCTCATCTACGATCTATTCTGTTCCTCATCTACGATCTATTCTGTTCCTCATCTACGATCTATTCTGTTCCTCACTGATGATCTATTCTGTTCCTCACCTACGATCTATTCTGTTCCTCATCTACGATCTATCCTGTTCCTCACCTACGATCTATTCTGTTCCTCACTGATGATCTATTCTGTTCCTCATCTACGATCTATTCTGTTCCTCACTGATAATCTATTCTGTTCCTCACCTACGATCTATTCTGTTCCTCATCTACAATCTATTCTGTTCCTCACCTACGATCTATTCTGTTCCTCATCTACGATCTATTCTGTTCCTCATCTACGATCTATTCTGTTCCTCATCTACGATCTATTCTGTTCCTCACTGATAATCTATTCTGTTCCTCACCTACGATCTATTCTGTTCCTCATCTACAATCTATTCTGTTCCTCACCTACGATCTATTCTGTTCCTCATCTACGATCTATTCTGTTCCTCATCTACGATCTATTCTGTTCCTCATCTACGATCTATTCTGTTCCTCACTGATGATCTATTCTGTTCCTCACCTACGATCTATTCTGTTCCTCATCTACGATCTATCCTGTTCCTCATCTACGATCTATTCTGTTCCTCATCTACGATCTATTCTGTTCCTCATCTACGATCTATTCTGTTCCTCACTGATGATCTATTCTGTTCCTCACTGATGATCTATTCTGTTCCTCACCTACGATCTATTCTGCTCCTCACCTACGATCTATTCTGTTCCTCACCTACGATCTATTCTGTTCCTCACCTACGATCTATTCTGTTCCTCACCTACGATCTATTCTGTTCCTCACCTACGATCTATTCTGCTCCTCACCTACGATCTATTCTGTTCCTCACCTACGATCTATTCTGTTCCTCACCTACGATCTATTCTGTTCCTCACCTACGATCTATTCTGCTCCTCACCTACGATCTATTCTGCTCCTCACCTACGATCTATTCTGTTCCTCACCTACGATCTATTCTGTTCCTCACTGATGATCTATTCTGTTCCTCACCTACTATCTATTCTGTTCCTCACCTACGATCTATTCTGCTCCTCACCTACGATCTATTCTGTTCCTCATCTACGATCTATTCTGTTCCTCACTGATAATCTATTCTGTTCCTCACCTACGATCTATTCTGCTCCTCACCTACGATCTATTCTGTTCCTCACCTACGATCTATTCTGTTCCTCACCTACGATCTATTCTGTTCCTCACCTACGATCTATTCTGTTCCTCACCTACGATCTATTCTGTTCCTCACCTACGATCTATTCTGTTCCTCACCTACGATCTATTCTGTTCCTCACTGACGATCTATTCTGTTCCTCACCTACGATCTATTCTGTTCCTCACCTACGATCTATTCTATTCCTCATCTACGATCTATTCTGTTCCTCACCTACGATCTATTCTGTTCCTCACCTACGATCTATTCTGTTCCTCACCTACGATCTATTCTGTTCCTCACCTACGATCTATTCTGTTCCTCACCTACGATCTATTCTGTTCCTCACCTACGATCTATTCTGTTCCTCACCTACGATCTATTCTGTTCCTCACCTACGATCTATCCTGTTCCTCACCTACGATCTATTCTGTTCCTCACTGATGATCTATTCTGTTCCTCAATGCTCCTCGCTTTTCTGTTCCTCATCTACGATCTATTCTGTTCCTCACTGACGATCTATTCTGTTCCTCATCTACGATCTATTCTGTTCCTCACCTACGATCTATTCTGTTCCTCACCTACGATCTATTCTGTTCCTCACCTACGATCTATTCTGCTCCTCACCTACGATCTATTCTGCTCCTCACCTACGATCTATTCTGTTCCTCACCTACGATCTATTCTGTTCCTCACCTACGATCTATTCTGTTCCTCACCTACGATCTATTCTGTTCCTCACCTACGATCTATTCTGCTCCTCACCTACGATCTATTCTGTTCCTCACCTACGATCTATTCTGTTCCTCACCTACGATCTATTCTGTTCCTCACCTACGATCTATTCTGTTCCTCACCTACGATCTATTCTGTTCCTCACCTACGATCTATTCTGCTCCTCACCTACGATCTATTCTGCTCCTCACCTACGATCTATTCTGTTCCTCACTGACGATCTATTCTGTTCCTCATCTACGATCTATTCTGTTCCTCACTGACGATCTATTCTGTTCCTCACCTACGATCTATTCTGTTCCTCACTGACGATCTATTCTGTTCCTCACCTACGATCTATTCTGTTCCTCACTGACGATCTATTCTGTTCCTCACCTACGATCTATTCTGTTCCTCACTGACGATCTATTCTGTTCCTCACTGACGATCTATTCTGTTCCTCACCTACGATCTATTCTGTTCCTCACTGACGATCTATTCTGTTCCTCACCTACGATCTATTCTGTTCCTCACCTACGATCTATTCTGTTCCTCACCTACGATCTATTCTGTTCCTCACTGACGATCTATTCTGTTCCTCACCTACGATCTATTCTGTTCCTCACCTACGATCTATTCTGTTCCTCACTGACGATCTATTCTGTTCCTCACCTACGATCTATTCTGTTCCTCATCTACGATCTATCCTGTTCCTCATCTACGATCTATTCTGTTCCTCATCTACGATCTATCCTGTTCCTCATCTATGATCTATTCTGTTCCTCATCTATGATCTATTCTGTTCCTCATCTACGATCTATTCTGTTCCTCATCTACGATCTATCCTGTTCCTCATCTATGATCTATCCTGTTCCTCATCTATGATCTATTCTGTTCCTCATCTACGATCTATTCTGTTCCTCATCTACGATCTATCCTGTTCCTCATCTATGATCTATTCTGTTCCTCATCTACGATCTATTCTGTTCCTCATCTACGATCTATCCTGTTCCTCATCTATGATCTATCCTGTTCCTCATCTACGATCTATCCTGTTCCTCATCTACGATCTATCCTGTTCCTCATCTACGATCTATTCTGTTCCTCATCTACGATCTATCCTGTTCCTCATCTACGATCT